TAGTAAGTTTTGGAGATAAGAGTCTGTTTTGGGTGAAAAAGAAGGTAAATAACATGTATAACCGACTTTTACGAGTTGGGACTGAGTTGACTCGGCTGAAAACTCGGTTTGACCACTAATCACTAAAAATCGCATAACTTTTCGCTCGGACCTCCGTTTTTTACATGGTTTTCGCTCACGCGTTTGTAAAGAGATAGTCTACAACTTACAATAGAAATATCTCAAAAATATCTTCCAATAAAAGTTAGTTTTTATGTATCCGTAACGTAGATATTGATGCTTTTGACCCGTTTCTTTCCAATTGTTTTGCCCCGGGCCTCGTACGATGATTCCGACTATTTCATATATAGTTTATTACATTTGGGTTTGCTTCCAAATTTTACGTTTTGATCACATAAACACGTATAAAAGGGATAATTGCAACGTATTTGCGAAAGTGTATGTTACAATTTTGTATCATGTTCGACCTTTGAATTAATTATTTGTAGAGAGAGAATCTAATTAAGGATGGCTTAGAGACTGATGAGTGTGACTATAATAAATTGTTCAAAGTTACAGATATTGAATTCTGTTAAGGCTTGTAAATGAACCGAACGAACATGAACGGGCTATTGTTCATGTTCGTTTGTTTAAGTTAACCAAACAAACAATGAACATTAAACAAACAAATTTTTAGGTGTTCGTGTTCGTTCATTTAAAAAGTAGGCGTGTCCGTGTTCATTCGTTAAGATGTTGAATGAACGTAAACGAATATAAATGAACAAATTCGTGTACGTTAATTTAAAAAGTAGGCGTGATAGTGTTCGTTCGTTAAGATGCTAAACGAACGTAAACAACCAAACATAAACGATCGAACATAAACGAATATGAAAAAAAGTAATGGACTAAGTTTAAATAATGGCCCACATTGGATTAGCCCAAAAAAAGCCTTTAACTCTTTATATGTTTCAAGATTTAAAATTTCCGTATATGTAAATAAAGTTTATATAAATATATTTATATATTAAGGGAACATAAATAAACAAATGTAAACGAACATAAATGAACGTAAATGTACGAACAAGATATTGTTCATGTTCGTTCATTTATTAAATAAACAAACTTTTCATCGAACGGTTCACGAACCATCCGTTGAACGCTACGTTCGTTTATAGGCCTAATAACAAAACTTTAATTAGGTTTATACACGATTTACAAATTACAACCAAATGATTTTGGTGGCCTTAGTTTTAATGGATGGTTCATAATTAAACTCAACCGGTATTGAATTTGTTTAGACCTACTTATTTCCAGATTAGGAACCATACCATATGGCATATGCTATCAAATTTGGGCCTAAAATCCAAATGGGCCCTATAAAATATGTATGTATACCTATCAAAATCATCTTAATTTGGTTTATTTTTCCGTTTTAAAGAGAGACAATGACGTTGTCGGGTTATCTCAACTGCAATAAGATTTGAACCTTTAAGAATCCTCTGCATATGTTATCTTTTCGAATCTTACGGTGCCATTAAGAGTTATCCAAACTTTAGAACATATCGTGTTTGTCAGAAAACCAAACCAATATTATATCAAGTAAATCCCACTTTTTTTTCTTATAAAAGTAAGTTCGAAGAGGACATATGATGAAAATGAATAAATCAAATCGAAAATCGGTGGTGAACATTTGGATTTTAATGGCGAAAAGGACCGACCGCCAAAAGGAAGCCATACGATCAACAAAAAATGCTCTGCCACTCGCAATTTATGCCTAAAACAAAACTCCATCAATCCTTAAATAACGGACACAAACACTCAAAATGTTGCTTTCTTGTAAGATGCATATTTTTGAAATTAATATCATCACAACCCCACAAGTACCCATCATCCACCACCTCACCATTATTAACTTAATAAATCCAATTTTCCCCATTTTTGTCTACTCACCAGACCACATCACCACCAATCAAAACCCAATCTGGTGGTGGCCATTCCAGGTGCAGCCTAATCCCAACTCCCAATAAATTATCAACGCAACAAATATGAGTAGCCACAATTGTTGCTGAAACCTGAAATCGAACCCTAAACAAATTACATATTCCGTCAATCGAACCCTGAACAGATGAGATATTCCACATCATCCCCCAGGACCTCAACCACTATGCTACAACAGCCGGTTTCTTCCCAGCACCGTGACGACAATCAAATGGTGTTCTTCGGAAAAAAGAAATAACATATAATCTACAAGATTCTCTAAATAATGCATAACTTCCATCAAACATCCCATGGATCTTTCAAATACTAAAGAAAAGCATGAAGAAAGATTAAAGAAGTTGTAGCCTTTGCAAGAAAAAGAAAAGATACTACTATGTAAAAAGATGGGGTTTTGGTTCTTATTCATTGTGAATAGCTTCAAGTATATAGGCGGACCAACGTATTTACTATACCTAGTTTTTATACATTTCTTTAGCTGCCTCATAGCCTAGTGATAAAAAGCATTCATCTGGGCCGTAAAGGCATTGGTAAAGAGTATAGAATGTGAAACCTCCTTCAGAAGAACAGAATAAGTAAGATTTATATACACGAAATCTGCACGCTTTACTTATAATCAGGGTGGAGATTCTGTTCTTTGCCTGCGCATACGTGCTGCCCACGATGTGTTTTTACCAGATTCTTTGTACATGCTTCTTTTCCGGAGCTCTGATAGTTGACTTTGCCAATGGCCTCGCCATTCGCTTTTCCCCTTCATTTGCTGCAGCATACACGTAACTTGGGTCAGCATGAGTTCATATGAAACCAAAGAAACTGCTCCAACAAGAGTGCTAAAGAAACAAAGTGTCATTTAAATTGATTATGAAAAAAACAGGGAGATGGAGTTCTATCAAATATGATGAATTGTGGTCATCTTTGTTGGATTCCCACGTCAACCAAGACATCGACCATCAAAACCTGTTTATATGTAGGAACCTTCCATCTCTCTCTCTCTCTCTCTCTGTAAGGGATCTTTACTTCTAAAGGGTGATTCAAAGAGATTCCACATATCCCTAACAATCTGATTTGATTGAAGTCTTTTGCAATTGCTTTTACAAAGACGTGGCTTACGTCATAAACAGATCAACTTTATGGGCTGCTGTAAGTTTTGGTCTATGTGAGACAAAAGAAGCATATGAAACAATATACCAATTTAAGCAAAGCGTAAGCAAATGTTCATTTAAACAGATTTGGTACAACTGGCTTCCAAACTCGATCAGTGAGACCATTATCACACGTTATCCCAGCTACTGAAAACTGTTTTGCGTAAATCATATGACATAAAAAACCTTTATAAACATAAACAGTAACAAGTAAGGTATGATCTGAGGGCATGAAAGATGTCAGGCTCCATTAACAAATCTAAACCACTATCTGTATTTTTAGACAATTTGTTAATCATAAGGGATTAATATTGAGAATTGTGATCTTATCCAACAAGCAATCAAATATTGATGATCCTATGATTCATAATGGGTCATCCATTACGTCAGTTAATTGCAATTCTTAGATAATGATATCTACAGCTAGAAAGCACAAAATCGATTTAAAAGCAGCATGAAAACCTCATAAATTTGTGTGTATCAACAACACAAATCCCAATTAGATCAATCAGAAGGAGCTAGCAATTAATCTGATAGTAAGAGATGAGATACAATCTCCCTGCTCGATGAAGGCAACCACCAAATTCAAAGACAAATTGAAGAGCAATATGAGATTAGAATAGCTGAAGAATGAAGGCCCATGATCTGCAAATGTAAAACATAGGTCATACAGGAATGGTATATACCTCATCATTGTGGAGATGATTCCGAGAAGAAAAGGCAAAGTGAATTCCCATAGCCATATGTCGATCATACAAAGCCCTTTGGCTAGGATCCGACAACGTTTCATATGCTTCCTGTACCCGAATAAACCTCTGTGTATACTCCTCCGCCCGACCCGGAGGCGAGACATCCGGGTGATACTTCCTCGCCAATTGCTTGTATGCTTGCTTGATCTCGAGAGATGTCACCGTTTCGGGGATACCCAGTAGGTCGTAAAAGCTCAGATCATCCATAATTGTCTCCGACACAAAGCCATCACCATCTTTAACGGAGGCCGCTGATTTGGCTCTAAGAGATCCGGGATTACCAGTGGCTATATGAAGACGAACTGTGGAGGGAATGGAGAAGTGGGTTCGTGAAGAATAGACAGGTGGGGGTGTAGTAGTAGGGATCCTTGAAATGAATCCATGGCTGCAACACATGATGGATTTGTGTGAGCAAATAGCAAATGATGAATGGTGTGTGGGTGAGAGAAAGGGGTTAGGGACTTGGGGGAGATATAAATAAAGGAGATATAAATGAAGACGTGTCTTGTACACGAGGGCTTTTTCTATTTTTATACAGCAGTGACTCATCTTCCCTTTTGGCTGCGCTTATTCACCGCTGTCTAAAACCAAAATCATAAAAATTATGTTATAACATTTTAATTTATAATTTTATTTTTTTAATCTACACTGTATTATAAAACATTTGACAAAAACTTTTAAAATAATTTTTTATGCATAAAATACTGTTTATTATTGTATATTACTTAAAACTCAAGATTGCAACTAGATTGTGCGTAAATACAACTTATTAAAGCTCGATATCTGAATTCGTGTAACTAACTGCAGATAAACATAATCAAATACAGGATAAACATCTCATTTTAAATATAAAAAATCTAAAATATAATTAAGATAATCATTGAGTTCTAACAGAATACTTAATTATTATATTTATAAAATATTATATTATTAAATCAAAAATAAATTATTTCGTTATTAAACTTATATTAAAGTGTAATAAAAAATAAAGAAATTACATAAAAAATGAGAACTTTTAAATAGTTGATTTGATATTAACATTAATATATTTTTTTAAAATTTTTTATGATATCTTCAAATTTATATTTTATGCAAAAAGTTAAATTATTATTGTTTTATTAAAAACACATAAAATCGTATTATAACATCATAGAGACAAATAATAAAATAGAACATTAAAATCAAGATATGTCTCACTGCATTGGATGAATACTCTTCTAGTTTAATATAATAATCGTTTAAATCATGATATTTAGATTGTTAAAGATGTTAGTTTAAACTTTATTATATATATATATATATATATATATAATAATCTTTATTTATAGACTAAAAGAAAAAAAAATTATTATTACATAATATTTATTAAATAATAAAACAAAAAATGGATTTTCTTAGAAAATGCTTGATAAGTACACATCAATCTTCGTCTGTGGTTGCTTTACGGATTTTGTCCCTACAATTTACAAAGTACATTGGTAGCCTATTTTTTGTGTTTCGAAGTCCAAAGTAATCCCTCTTGTAACACCATTAGAAGAGGCTCTATTAAATGTATCATGTGTCCTCCAAGTGAGGAGCAATTTCATTATTTGATGCTTTTTATAAGGTTTTTAAGTACAAGTGTTAAATGCTTAAGGTACAAGTGTCTTGATTTTATTCTTAAACTAAAAACCCACCAACCCGTCCCATCTTTTTCCTATACCCCTCCTTATCACGAGCGTGTAACCTATTATCCACCGGGTAACATTTCTTAGGCGAACCACCTCCCTCGACATCATCTCTATGTCAAACCCAATCACTACATGAAGGCCCTTTTATTCTCGAAACCCTGTTCCAGATATGTAGAAACTCTTTAGTCCTCCCCATCAGTGAAACCCCCCACAATGAAAATTCTCCAAATCTCGCGTTGAAAACCCCTGGGCCTCAAGAAACATAATGAACGGAAATGAAGTGTTGGTCCCAAAAGGGTCTACAAGAATACTAAACAGGTTGTAGAAGGGGGGGGGGATGAATACAAACACAATTTTCAAATTTAAAATATATATTGATAAAGAAGATCAATACAGATTTTACAAGATTGTTTGC